TCCTAAATACTTCTTAAAAAGAAATTAAAAAAAATGTTTTCACAAAGATACCAAATGCATTTACGTTATGTTATATTTTTAGTGTGTTTATAATGATTTCTTTTGTTTTTAATTTCAAATATTTTATTTTCAAGTATAAAATACAACACGTATATTACGTCGCCGTCTTTGTTTCGGTGTACAAAAACAGTTAAAAATTTTTTTTTATGTCTAGTGCGTTTTTTTGTAGACTTTGGGTGTACAACAATGATCGCATACAATTTATAACAATATTATGTGATTCCTTCAGATCATTGTGATACACACTGTATACGCAGAGTGAAACTGTGTTATTAATATAGCGAAAAGTCACGACGTGGCTAAGCGGCATGTCTTTTTGGCTAAACAACCAATTATTATATCTTTACACGTTCGCATCAATTACCGAAAAATCCACACGGTTGTGTGTGTGTGTATTAACGTACATTTTTAATGTGACCGATATAATAATTGTTTTATCAATCGAACTTATTGATATAAACGCGTACGGTTACTTATATTTTATCATCGTACATGTCCCACGCAATTAATCTGTGGAGGCCCCGAGGTCATTTTCCTGTATACACGGAACGATACGAGTTTGAGTTAATAATATACAATATTTTACATCCATGCTATACACGAATGTATACAATATGTATAGTGTATATTTATGTATACAATATGCAAACAACGTGATATTGGTGTACGAGGAATTTAGAAAACGTCATTGAAACTGATTTTACTATAGTGTACAAAAAGCTCTATAATAATATAACCAGCAATAAATTATATCTATACAGCTAAAGAGGCCAACAATTAAAATATGTGCGATTTATTTTTTCAAAAATTCGTTTTATATACATCTTGCTGATTTCTATGATTTGCCAATTAAAACCGAACACCTAGCCTAACAGAAAACTGATATATTTTTAGAGCTGTAAACATCAAAGTCGTTTAAAAACGTGTTATGCTAAAAAAAATGACATTTTAAGTATTAACAACATTATTTTAAAATAATTAAATGAGCATTTTTTTTTTAGAAGGAGTGGAAAAGAGTGTTAAGAGTACGTGTGGTAACACAGGATAATTCTTTGTGAGATGATGAATTAATCAAGAACAACATTAATCCCGTACGTCTTGTTTGTACAATATTTCCTAGGTAATATTTTGTTTCAGCGTTGTAAACATAACTAGAACAACAACCAGTATGCTAATCTATGTATTTTAATATAATATATTAATTTTATTCATAATACACATGTTATATGTGTGTCTGTGTAGAAATCGGGCCGTGGGAACTGATCGAACAAATCACATATTCACGATAAATCATGGTATTATTATACGCATCTCTTACCGGCATACAAATTATTAACATCATACAACTAGTTCTGTCCCAACAGTCGGCTCAATGCAACCGATGCTAAAAAAATCATGCTACGTTCCAAGGTCGAGTTTGACAACCGATCCGTATCTTAGTCGTAGCGGACTAAGATAATAATATTATTTACGATGATTAACGCTCATAAGTCATAAAACGAACACTGAACACAATGTAATTATGTAAAAAGTAATCTGTAACGTGTACTATACCTGTACCTACTGTGTCTTCTTCTGCCATCATTAATTATCTTTTCGCTGCGAAATCTAAATAGTAAGCCAAGTAGCTATAAAGCCTCGACGGTAATTACTTGAGACACACGTGGTGAGACCCACGTCAAAAGTCAAATGTCTGTTCTCATGCAATTTGTAAAAATAGTCGAGAAAAAACCCAGAAATGTTAAAATATTTTCCACAAAACTATATTACACTTAAATACATTTATTTTTATGAAAAACTTTCGACAATTATGATTATTTAGCAAATGCCTGTCAGTTGAATTTAAACTAAAAAACAATTGCTGAATTACAAAAAAATCAAATAAAAACCTTGTGCCTATTTTTATGTAACCTAAGCTATTGGGGGTGATCCGTGGGACAGAATACTTATTGCTCTAATATGCTTTACTTATAGCATTTTATCATTGTGTTTTAAAACAGTTACCTAATACCACACAAGTCGATGTTCGAATTGTTATCTTCTTTAAATCCTTTCTCATCATGTTTTTATGTACCTATGTTTTTATAGCATCTAAAGTTATTGTATATTGTACCTAAAATATAAACTATCGCACATAAACCGGTCTTTATAGGAATTCAAATTAAATCATTCAATCTAAATTCAATATAAACTGTTTTTATTTAAGAAAAAACCACTAATACAAAGTGGTACCACCAAGATTTAGTGGATTAGGGTTTGAAAATATAATTTGATGTGCCTACTAATTAATTTTGGATTTCACCAATTATTATTATTTTAGATTCAAGAGGAATCCGAGTATATAATATATATACATAATATAGCCATTAAAATGAATCCATTTGACGACGGACGCTTATAAAATCTAGTATCAGACTTAACAAAAATATCAACGTTTATCGGTTGTAAAATATTTTACGGTGATTTGATGTTATCCGGTAGGATAGTCAAAACGTTCATCCACACAGGTAGTCCACGTGACTTGACTCTTATTAAACGAGGCAATGCGCATGTAAAATGTAAAAATATTATATCATCATATTATACTTAAACGGGTTAGGTCGGGTCATCATTATTTTACTATCTTGTAGTCCAGTGCAGTCACAAAGACTGTTATGTTACAGCAGATATAGCTGCAGCGCGATTAACCGCTTAGATTTGATGAGCGGTTTGCTCTAAGAATATATATTTAGAATTTTCCGTTGCTTTTCTGAAACTAAAGAAACCCGATGCCAAGTGGCTAAATTCTTTGAAACTCTCAAGTTATTATCCAACGAGCTAAAGTTACCCATGTACGGTTATAGGCTGCTATAAATTGAAGTACTAGTATCTAAGTATTGGTGGTGTAAAAGTACACCGTCGAGTTTTGTCTTGTTTGAGTTATTTAACTGAAACGAAACCATCAACGATGAGTACTTGTCGTAAACAACAAATAAATTAGAAATATTAACTGTGTCCGACGTGTTCGGACGGGTCTGCTATTGTCGACTGCTATCAAATATCTACAGCACCGGTAAAACGTGATAGCTGTCACCGACTTTGATGAGATGCAAAGTGTCACGATTTTCAAACCGTTACCGAAAGTAAACAATAAACTCGAACTTCAAGTAAACATTGATGTTTGAAGTACGGCCAAAGTGTAAAATCGCATGAGCAAAGACAAAAGCGTATAGAAACAGCTGCCGTTTCCGCGGTAAAGAAGTTATTGGTAGAGATCAAAATAATAAATTAAACAGTCGTCGTTTTGAGAATTATTCTTAACGTCAAATCCTACGCTTTATAACTTCACATGCGTGTGTTACTGCCAATGTAATTTGTTTCCTAACCTAACCTTATCAGTGTGGGTAAAGGCAATTATTCAAAACGTATTACACATATTAGTTTGTATCTTTCATGTTTAAATTGTCCACAAAACAAATTACAACTATCAAAATGTTCCAAATGAACATTTTAAGCCCACGGTCCTCGTGTACAGTTGTCTACGGATGTAGGTATGATCATTTGTAATAAATATCTCTTATAAGTTTATCAACCTGTAGTATAAGATTTGTTATTCTCTTAACGTTTATTTATCCCTGAACGAAAGTGGTTTTTAAAAATTGGTTTTAATTCCTCGGTAAGAAGATTGCCCATCTTTAGAATTTTATAATACAGCGTCTTTTTTATGAAATAAGTGTTTTAGCTATAAATATTCGGAATAAAATCTGTATTGTATTAAACAATAAAAAAATAATTTGTATTTTCGAGTAATATATATATTTATCTCAATACCAGTTTTCGAGAATAATAAGTATTCTCAAAAGTCAAATTTATAATATCTGTATTTTTAATACACACTTTTTGATTTATTGGTATTTTAAGTTTTAGGCGTGATGTAAAGGGAGGGAAAGAGAGTGGTGTGAGCGAGAAAAACAAACATCCCCTCTCCACATTTAGCATCTCAATATGTATTTAGCATAAATTATTTATTGAAAATTGGATATCGATAAATCGTTATTTGCGTTTAATCGCTTTGCTTTTAATTAGCAGTTCGAATGTGCAAGTCACTATTTGTCTTTGAATAGTTACCTTTGTATACTGCTCTTTGAACAAATATTTCGAACTTAAGGGAATGAAAAGAGACAAATTGTGTTTAAACTTATAATGAAACGCAAAATGTTTAATAAAATGATTTAAAAATTCGATTTTTTTGTTTTAGTTAGCTTCATCTATTTTTTTAATATTACCAATTTGCCAGTGGCCCTTAGAAATATTCTATACTTCTGTTTGTTTGTAGGTGTTTTAGCTCTAAGAGTAATAAAAAAATCTTTAAAACCCGATTTGCGTTAACATGTTTTTTTACATACAAATGTATAAAGTGTAACGGCCAAAAAAGATATTTTGGACATTTAAGAGGATACATTTAAGTTTGTAGTCTTAGGCGTAGAACTAGCTATTTATTTAAAGTCCCATTTTGTTTGTAGCTGACATAAGTCATAATGCAAACATCGAGTGTCGTCGGGTTATTTCTAAAAGCTCAAATTTTATTAATTGTATAAAATTCACTTTTTCTGTTTTCAATCGTTTCGATAAAAACGTATTTAATCACACTTTCAAGATGCACGTCGTACAGTACTGTTGTTGAAGTGCCACTAAAATTCTAGGACCACGAGGAAAAATAGAGATAAACGTTGGAAACGACGCTAAAACAGTCCAAAACATGACTGTGCTTGTTGCAAGATTAATTTCCGTTTGTAACCTACTAACTTTATTTCCGTAAGGTTTACTTCGGTTCCGGTAAAAATGTATCGTGGACGAGGCGGCAATGGAAGTCGAATTCCTACCAAACTTTTTGAAGCTCTCAAAAAAAAAAAAAGAAACCTAGTTATTTTATCCGCTCCGCGGAAAAACCTTGAATCATCATGGATACGTCATCTCTTATCATTTGTCTCTAATCTCTTATCACTTAATCATTTTGAATATCGGATGTGTTGATGTGTTTCAGCGCACGAAGACTTAAAGTACATTGACGCGGTGCCGGAGAAAGACGACATCGTCATGGAGGAACAGCCGTCGCCCATAATGCGGCTCAGCCGGGTGGCGCCGGGCGCCGGTGTGATCGCCCTACATCACCAAACGCAGCCGCCGCCGCTGTCGCACCACCGGGCCCTGGTGGGCGATTACCGGGAGCCGTCGACCCCGGTGGTCTTGGACACGGTTTGCGGCCGCCGGACGGTGAACGGGGTAGGAGACGCCATCGCCGCCGGAGCCGGAGGTCCGCATCCGCAAGTGGCGTTGTGGCACCCACGGCCGGTGTACCCGTTTCCGCTGCCGCTGCCGACCACCACCACCATTGGATTCTGGCACTCGTCTCAGCCGCCGTTCCCCACGCCCAGCGCCACGTACCCACCGTACCTAGATGTAAGTAGGTTTTTTTTTAAATACCATAAATTTGCATAAACATAATTATGACACAATCGTGTCAATCAAAAATGGTGATTTGTAAAAAAAATCAAATTTGAGTACCGAATCGCCGAGTAGATGGCAAATTTTTTTTAGTAATTGAAATTTTGTTCCAGAACCTTCTTTTTACATTTACCTACCTGCCGTTTTTCGGTTGTTTTCTATTAACCCGCTCTACAATTAGGTATAAATGAAAACTTAGGATAATTACAGCCTGAGTTTTCATTTATGAATGTTAACAAAATCTGCACTTCCGACAATATTAATCACATAAAAAAATTAACTCGTTTTAAATTTAATTCGCGGTTTTTTTTTTTATTAGTAGGTATTAACGTTATCCACGATAATTAGTATAGACATAGCAACTCGGAAGTATTCAAACATTTTAAGCCAACACATCTATAAAATATATACACTGTGTAAAGTTTTTACTCTTTATTAATTTTATACGACTAAGGAGTTGCCTATACACAACTCCTTAGAAAGTGATACGTGTAGCGTCCGATTAGCGATAACAATCAATACATTTTGTTGCTTATTTAAAACTAAAATAAATCATTGATTTTTCACACCATTTTTTTATTCATTCAGTTGGGTAGATAAAGGTAAATTTGTTATAAGTTCAAAGGTATACTTAAAATATGTACAAATTCAGTGAAATTTAGCAAAAAGAAATTTATATAAAAAAATAGATACAATATTTTTTACACGAAACCAGTTTTTTTTTTCATACCGTTATTCAATGCACATAATTTAGAGTACAGCACTGAATAGCCGTACAATATGCGAGCTTGTCGAGCAATAAATGATTGATGCAGTTATTTTAAAGGGCTGACTAAATATCAATTAGTGTGACCCCGTGAGTCGACGAATAGAAAACGGTTGAAAATTGTTTTTCTTACATTTGTTCAGCACAGTTTTCGATTAATGCAAGTAATAGTAAATTATTTAACGAACAAATTTTAAACCCGCGTTTTAAAATACACATAATAACAACATGAGCATATGGCGTGGCGCAGTGGTCAGTCGCAGTTGCTGTTTAGCGATGGCAACGAAGGCGCGCTCCTAATCTATAAAACACGTGTTAACCGTTCCAAACCGTATATATATATACACACAACTAAATAATTAACAGTTTAAAAAAAAACCACAAGCAAATTGTAAGAACGTAACAGTAGTTGAACGGACAAAAACAATAAATGAGAAACGCGCGGTTAGAGAACGGTATATTTGTTTAGCTATTGAATATAACAATAATATCTGTGTGTGTGTGTGCATATTGTAAATGTATACAGAAATAAAAATTGGCGATGAACTGGCGACGGGGACGCGTTTGAATTAAAAAAAAAACGCGAATAAGAGTTTTTTAAATAGAAATAACAGCGAAACGGTAAAAATAGTCGCGTTCGCCTTGAAAGAATCGCGCGCTACATTAATATTATAAAAAAAAAAAATAATAAACCAGCGTGAACATTTTTATTGCACACATGTGTATACATTATATTAATATTATTATATGCACAAAACCTATGTGTATAGTCTGTATCGAGTTGTTTAATGCCGATAAACTTGTTCTCTGCTAATAATAATATTATTATTGCTATCAGTTGTTGTTGTAATGTTACACACACGGCCGCGTACAGAGCCGGATTAATAAAATTAATGGCCCAGGACTTACTCATTATGGGGGCGGGGGGCATGAATTTACAAAAAAAAAAAAAATCCTTATGCATATTTCTATGCAGTAGTTGTTCGAGAAAAAACTGTTGGGAAGAGAGCGTTAAATCCCCTTGAAAAAACCTTAGAAATTTGTACCAGATTATTATTTTACAAAACATAATACATTAAACAATGAACTGTAATTATAGCGTTAAATATTAAGAATAATAGTTGGTTAAAACATTTTCTTTTCTGGCTTTGCTTGATGTCTTGACCACAATGTCTTAAAATGAGAGTTTTTAGTCAATTGGTGCAATTATATAATGAATCAGTGTCAGTCTATAAAAGTTTATCAAAAATGTTAATTAATTGAAAAAACATTCTTCTGACAAATTTATCACTGAATTTGTCAATATTTAACAAAGAAGGTATTAACTTTAACCTTTTTCCCTACTCAAAAGAGTTTCATTTGCACGTCATTTTTGTTTTGCTTTCTACGGAAGTCTTCAAAATATATGTTGTCAATGATTTTTGTACTTAAATATATTTTAGTCAAATATTCATACTCATTAATGGAGTTCTGTGATGATATATAAATTGCTGCAATAAACGAATATGTTCACACCCAGATAGGAAGACCAACCCACGTTTTTAAAATTTGTCACTAATTTTATTATAACGTTTCAAAATAGTTTGCCATAAAACACACATAAATTACAACTCAAATTTAAGACTCTTTTCATTAATAATTTTACTTCTCTTTATTCATGAGCTATTTCTTTATTATCATTATTTATATCATCCGAACAAATAAGAATATTGTCATCATTGGTAAAAAATGCTCTTTTGAATTTAAAATAACACCGCCACCCGGTTTGACTTAAAATGTTTAGTTTATGACTATGATTTGGTCCTAACTCAGAGTTTTATTAAAATCAAATTTATTAAGTCTTAAAAAATTGTAGGTACCTATATAATTTTTAAAAAAATGACAGTCCTAACATTTTTTCTGAGTTCCTTTTTCTTGAAGGCCCTGCGCTATAGTCCTATTACCCCGTCGCCTCCCCCCATCTTAATCCGGCTTTGACAACATGTTCACCTAATATCAGCTGATAAAGTCTAGTTGAAAGAGAATAAGGGAGTAAATAGATAATATGAAGTGAATATTACCCAATAATATATTGCAAGCAATAACTTTGGCTTCAAATAGGTTAATATAACAATATTTAACGCCTTACAAATAATTGTGTTATAATATTGAAAAAAATGCAAACTTAATTTATTTATTTACAAAAAACTGAAGTTTTTAAACGAAAATCGGCTTCTTACATAACATAGTAAAGTAGCCAAAGAACTCGAATTTCTTCGCAGAATTTAAATTGGATGTAGTCGAAATATTGTCTGGTTTTTTTGGTCTAAAATAAATCAAAACGGCTTTTACTCATAGAAAAAATGATTTAAATAAAAAATAATATCTTGAAGCTTATTACAAATTAACTGAGAAATTAATTGACGAAAATGGTCGAAGTTTATTTAAACCTCTTTTTTCTTAAATATTGCCTATACAAAACTCCTTAAAACAGACCGCATGCGAACCCCTTACAAATTTAAGGGCGTATTGCGTGTTGCCAATCCGGAATCCCTATCCGATATGCAGGAGACTCCTATTATATATTATTAGGACATCGTTTAGGACAATATTAAGTGTAAAGTAGAAACTACTACGTTAAAGGTCATGCTGACCGTTTTGTTTTTTTTCTTCATCCGGGTGTTTTTTTAACTTAATTTTTTTTTTAAATATTATTATCAGACACACATACACAGTTTTCGTCGTACATTATTATTATTATTATTGCTATTATTTATATTACCGTTGACGTTGTCGTAAATGTCGCCGCCGCCGCGTAAAACAGTTGACACTTAACATGCATGACGGCCGGAACATGGTATTATTATACATATCGCGCAAGGTACATACATACACATATATATATATATGTATTTATTATATTATTATTATAGTGAATGAACGGGGTAAGGGCCCCGTGTCCTGTCCCAGACGAGCCCCAGCTGAGCCTGATAAAGTTATTAAATTCCCGAGCTATGCAGACGGCAATAAAACAGCAACGCAGCAGCTTTACGATCCGCAGCCCGTTGCGCGACTCAACTTTTGTCATTTTAATGAAAGGTATTAAACGCACGGCAAACAACCGACCCGTCGGATGTGTACATATATATATATATATATGTGTGTCTGTACTGTATATACACGTATACATCCACGACCTAGATATCGGTTGATTATTATTAAAAAAAAAAAAAAAACGCAAACCGGTGCGCAAAAGGATAGTCCCTCCCCCGAACATCCCCTTTGCAGTCGGTATAAGTTTGGTTTTTTTTTCTTTATAACGACAAAACGTACCGGTATCCCGTGCCCCTAGTGTATATATATATATATATATATATTATTATATGCTTTTTGTCGTGGAGACAACAGAGGGCGCGGCGGCGGCGGCAAGATGACTTTCCACGAGAACGACGTTTTTTTTTTTACGATGTCCGTTTTACCGAGAATAATAATTGTTTAGGTATATACACACACACACACACACATAAAGCCTATATTATTCTACAGACAGTTGTATGTATAAATATATGTATATATATACACACTATTGTATTACGTACGGTGGCGGAAGAAAGCCATTTGGTTTTTTTACATTTGTCAAATAAGCAATAAAAAAAAACAAAACAAAACAAAAACAAGATTTGTTGAGGTTATTATTACGTTGGGTGAAATAGTTTCAAAGAAATTCGTTTACTCTCGAATCCGTGTTAAATTGCGCCGAAAAAAGATGGAATTATTATATTCAGGCACGTCTCGGACAAGAAAACGAATTACCTTCAGCCGTTTTATCCGTTACATTGCCAGTGCTGACTTAGCAACGGCCAAAAACCAAGCACCTTGTTAATTATTATAATGATACAACAAAGTCAGCGTAATGGGAAGTTCAGAAATAGTTCGGTCGATCATTGGCCATGTGCATCTTAATCTAAAGGGAAAAGTGTGCGACTGATGTTTCCACATTATAAGTCTGTTAATTCTTTCAATACCTTGATCCTCCTCAGACGTCACACATGATGATGACAAGTCGGCTATTCCTAAACACATCATTGAATAACTCGCAATTAAACTTCCTACTGTATATATGCACCATTAAAAATGCTATGAATTAAAAGTGATTTTTAGATGTACGTTTCTTGACTTTGTTAAGAAGTTCAAGGATAGAAAAAATTAA